CTAGGCCGGTGACGAAGTCCAGGGCTACGTGGGACCATGGCCGCTCACGGACTGGAGCAAGCCCGCGGGGGGTCTGTTTGATGGCTTGTTTTGTGCACAAACTGGGCAGGCTAGGACAAACTGTTTTACATCTTTGGGTAAGTTGGGCCACCAGAACCGCTGGAAAATGAACTTGATAGTTCGGATTATTCCAGGATGGGCAGATTACTTCTCGGAGTGGACACACTGGATGAGGTGAGCCGAACGGAGGAGGTGGACCATTACCCGGGTCGGGTCAGCAGGCAGAGCTTGGGAAATGAGGTCCTGAATCTCCCACTGAAGGGCTCCAAAGGTGCAGGTCGGAGGTAGGATGAGAGAGGGCTCCTTAACAGAGTCAGGCGAGGCAGAGCAACGGGTTTCAGATTTTTAAACCTCTTAAACTTAAATTAAAGTGGAAAAAGAATAGGGACCAATGGGCTTGTCTGGGATTGAGTCCTTAAGCTGTTTGGAGATAAGCTAGATTCTTATGATCTGTCCATTTTTGTACTGGCTACTTAGACTCCTCCAGCCAGTGGCGCCACTCCTCCAGGGCCAGTTTTATGGCCATGACCTCCCTGTCGCCGACGTCGTAGTTGCGTTCAGCTGGGGACAGACGAAGGGAGAAGAAGGCGCACGGGTGCATCTTCTGATCCTGGCCCGAGCACTGAGACAACACAGCCCCAACACCAGTATCGGATGCGTCGATCTCGACAATGAACTGTTTGGAGGGGTCTGGGTGAACGAGAATAGGGGCCTTGGAAAACCTGTCCTTAAGGTCATCTAAAGCTGAGTCAGCCTCTGAGTTCAACCTGAACGGGGTCTTCACAGACGTGAGGGCATGGAGGGGGGGCGATCTGACTGTACCAACGGATAAAGCAGCGGTAAAAGTTAGCGAAACCTAAAAACCTCTGCAGCTTCTTTCTATTCTCGGGTTCAGGCCCCTGGAGAACAGCCCTGATCTTTTCGGGGTCAGACCAGACATGCCCCCCTTCCAGGATAAGACCAAGGAAGGTGACAGAGGGTTTGTGGAACTCGCACTTTTCTGCTTTCACAAAAAGCCGATTCTCCAGAAGGCGCTGAAGAACGAGGCGGACATGGTGTTTGTGTTCGGAAAGGGTTCGTGAATAAATGAGTATATCATCCAGGTAGACAAAAACGAAAAAGTTTAGGAAATCACAGAGGACATTGTTCACAAGGGATTGGAAGACTGCTGGAGCATTGCCAAGCCCAAAAGGCATTACCAGGTATTCAAAATGGCCCAACGGTGTCTTGAAGGCCGTTTTCCACTCGTCCCCCCGACGGATCCGGACCAGGTGGTAAGTGTTACGGGCGAAGGGAGCCATCCTTCTTTGCTACAAAAAAGAACCCAGCCCCAAGGGGTGAAGACGAGGGTCTAATCTAGTGATTAGCTAGTGATTCCTTAATGTATTTCTCCAAAGCCTGTCGCTGAGAAATGTTATAGTATGGTGGGTTATCTGAGGGAGAGCCCCGCCATCTAAGGCTGAGACCTGGAGAGGGGTGCAGGGGGGCACAGTGTCGAGCTGCGAGCGTTGAACGAAGGAACAGTCAATTAAATTAATCGAACCCTGAATCAACTAGAGCTGCAAACTTAAAGGTTTCACGAGAAGTAATAATTGCGGCACGTAAGCACAGACGCGGAGAAGCAGGAGCTGTCAGCTTAACTCGGTCCGTCGGTCTCCCTGCTACAGCCGGCGGACCCGGTCTTTTGACCGCTCAGGGCAGTCGCCAATAAAATGATTCGGGGAAGCACAATAAATACATAATTTTGCAGCTATACGCTGCTGCCTCTCCTCAGGGGTGAGTCGTAACCGGCCCAACTGCATGGGCTCAGGAGGATAAGGAGGACGCGCTGTGATAACGGGGTTAGGATCAGGTGGACAAGACAGGAGGGATCTCTCAGCTTGACCCCTAAACCTTCCCCTTAGATGGTTATCTAATCTAACCGCAAGCGTGATGAACTCATTTAAAGAGGTAGGAACCTCTAGACGGGCTAACCCTAACCCAGCCGCAAGAGTTCTAAACTCAATTGCAAAGTCTGCAACGCGCCTTCCCCGCTGCCTGAGGGCAAGGAGGCATCGGAAATCGGTCGTCTCATCCGACTTGGCGGCGAAAACCATCTTGAATTCTGTTATGAATTCACTAAATGAGCAGCGGAATCTTCTGCAGTCTGGAAAACGGGATTCCGCCCATCTGAGGGCTCTTCCAGTGAGAAGGCGCAAAATAAAGTCTGTTTTGGAGTCATCATGGGGAAAAGAGTGAGGACTACAATTTAAAGCCAGAGAGCATTGGAAGAGAAAACCAAAAAAATCTACACTGTCTCCGGAGAATTTCTCCCAACTGGGAGAAAAAGTCTCAGGGACAGGTGAAAACGAAACAGCTGGCGCCGGACCAGGGGCGGGGTCAGGCTGTGCTGAGGTTGCAGGCTGAGCGCCTGCATTCAGTAAACCTGTCAGCTGATTGTGTTGGGCAGCTACGCCCTGCAGCTGATTCTGAACGGCTAGAATAGTTGACTCTAATCTCTGAATCTGATCCTGCTAGGCATTTAAATTCAAATGTGTCCACTGGGTCTGTCTGGCCAGAGTGTTCTTCTGTCATGAACGTATTTAGCCCACATGCAGACCCCACACGGCAACAGGGATCAGTTAACTGTTTATTTAGTTAAACACGAGTCCTGACAGTATGGATACCTAAAAAGTGTACTTAAATACAGTAACTTAAATAAGTATTTGTACTTTGTTACTTGAGACCTAAAATGACCCCTAAAATGTACTCAGGTAAATGTAACTGAGCACAAGTAACTAGATAGGACCTTCTCTGGAGTCGGGAAATTAAAAGTATTCCACTTGACAACCACTGATTGAAATTTAAAGAATATGACTCTTACTGTATGTATGTATGAACCTTTACCTACCCTGATAGGTCTTGTTGAGCTTAGACATCTCTTTTTTTCTTCTTTTTTTTACGAGCAGGGCACAGTCAATTCCAAACAATTTCAGGTATGAAAACACATTTGAAAGCAATTTTGGACAACAAAAAAAAAAAACGTACCAGAAAACAAAAAAAATCCCAACATAAAATACAATACGCAACTGATTTAAACATTTACTAAAAATGTTTTTAAACTCACTTAGAATTAACTTTAATACATCAACAGACAACATCTTTAACTTTAAGTCTTTCAATAGTCTGAGGGAGCTGCAGACTAGATAGATTTATAGATGCATCCAACTGTAAAAATCTATACAAAAAAACAACACAGGTTTACAAAACAGGAACACCTTGCATTTACAAAAATAGTTAAAGTATTATTTCAGCTTTAAAGATGTTAGTTAACTACTCCTAGGTTTTACAAAAATACAAAATTACTTAAAAATAAAAGAAAAAAATAATTCCATTTAAAGAGCATCAACACCAAAGGCAAACAAAAAATGAAGAAATAAAAAAAACTCTGGGAAGAAGAAAGTCTGTTCTACAAAGTGAGGAACTAAAGTTATCTAAAAAAAAAAAAGAGAACATCAGAATCGTGTTAGCAGAGCTATTCTAAGGTGCAATCACGTTGAGCAGCACAGTTTTGGTGAAATTTAAATCTGCCTTGGAGGGTTTTTTTAGCACCACAAAATTAACCTGGAAAGCCTCTTGTACTGGTGAGCTTTTAACCTACTTGAGCAATGTCTACCATAGCGATAGACATGGGATTTTTTTGGTGGTATTAATACCAATCATGCAGATTTGTAATGGGTGTCAGTATTTTCTCAAGGCATTGCTTGAATATCTCACACTGGTTGAGATATTAGTGAACATAATAAGGATTTACATTGGCAACATATTAGGGGAAATGAAAAATGGCAAAACAGGAGAGAGAACAAGGCACATCAGAGCGAAGGGAGTCAGCCAATGAAATGGAAGGGAAAGAGACCCTGAACAGAGATACAAGGAGAGAGAGAGAGAGAAAAAGAGAGACTGACAGAGGGAGAGAGAGAGAGATGAAGGAGATCCCCACTGAGAGAAAGAGAGGCTGCATGTGGAAAGCCATGGGAGGAGAGCAAAAGAGGAGAAGCATTGAGCTCTTGGTTACCATCGGAGAATAGTAAAGCAACTTGCCAGCTCTCTGGAGAAATGACAATCACATGTGAGAGGTTCGGTTTACTGATGGTTCTTAATCTTCCTCCTCCAGTTCTTTTAAAGTGTTTTGGGAATGTGCCAAGACATGGATATACGTATGCCACGTGGGAAATGTGAAGGTTCGTGGAGAAGCGTTTAGAATGGATGACATGGATGGAGACTAACTGACATTTTTCACTGGGGTACACATTTGGCCAAGAGTGAGGAAAAAAATATGTCTCTGTTTTCTGTTTGAAAAGCTGTGAGGTGACATAGATTCAGTTTGAAAAGCTGTGAAGAATTTTGCTCTATTCTTTTTTTTGAAACTTTAACCTGATGTGACTTTGCAAGGGAGAGAAGACATGAGAGCAGGGGAAGTTGGGGACTCTTGTAAAATATGACAAATACAATAATGTTTACTACCCTTTCCTCTCAAAAGCTCATACCATCCTGCAGGTATGGAGATGCATTAGGATAAGAAACAGTTGGTTCAGGTTTCCTTTTTAGGGAACAAACGCACATTCTGTGCTTAGAGAGAAGCAAAGTTTCTCAAAGGCTGTTTTAACATCAAGATGAAATTTACATTTTTCTGATCATAGGTGACATTTCTAACATGAATGTGGCTTTGGCAAGTGTAGATAGAGTGCAAGGATGTGAAGGATGTGGAGCTCCACCTTTCAAAAAAATTTTTCTTTTCATGAAGACATGAGTCACAGTCAGTTCTAGATTTGGATTATGCTATTTTTAAGTACTGAAAGAAGGCTACAGCGGGTTTTGGAATACCCAACTTCATGCATATTAAAGTATACTTTAGAAATCATGGATACACGGGATGCTTTGTAGTATTCTGTCAGTAAATGTTTCTGAACTTTTTTCTTTGGTTTATCTTTACCGGCGCTGAGTTGACTCTATGAACCTGCATGGCAACAACATGTCCGAAGTGATCTCTTACACTATCAGGACCTCCAGTACTCTTGAGTCTAACCCTTGGCCTTCACCTCTACCTGATAACACCTCACACTACAGGTGTAAGGTGAGCGCCTTAGCCCGCAACGGGATGGAGACCCAAACACTAAACTGGTCACAACACAATGGTGCAGGAGATTCTGGATCTCATTGTGTTCACTCTGAGTCAATGGTGGAGAAGAACTGGCCGGCGCTACTGATTTTGGTCGCCATTGGCGTCACGGTCATGGGCAACATCTTGGTGATCCTGGCGGTTTCCCTGGAGAAAAAGTTGCAGAACGCAACCAACTACTTTTTGATGTCACTGGCAGTGGCTGACATGCTGCTTGGCATTTTGGTGATGCCGGTTTCCATGGTGACCATCCTCTATGGTAAGCCAATCATGTCACTTGCATTTGTCATTTATTAACTTGTCTTTTGGTCTGTTGTCTGTTGACTCCAATGAGCTTCTCAAATCCTTTGGAAAAATTTTATCCAAAGCCTAAACAAAGGTTTCTATTTCTGATTTTAATCACTTTTACTGCATGTTAAATTTTTTTTTTGGCTGTTTGTGAAAGAAAAACTTTAGAATTCATGTTTGGCCCTGTGACAGTGGTGAAAGACACCAATAGCAGAGATTTGTTTGAGTTACAAAAAGAGACACATCTAGAAGGTGAAGATTGAAGTGACTTGGTGGATGCCTGAAAAAGTGTCTAAAGTGTGAAGCTGCTTGAGCGATGAGTGGAAATACACTATGTACATTTAATTAATCTACCAGTAAAAATTGTAGTCTCTATCAACATACATTTGGAACTCATTTATGATGCGTTTTATGACAATGCTATTTGACTGCCTTAACTAGAATGTGAGTTAAGACTTAGAAGAGTTTGCAGGAAGCGAATATGGTAACCTGATTTCATGTTTTGGGGATAGGCGGCTGATACCCATTGAGGCATCACATACAATATCTGATAGGGGAAAGGAACACCTTGAATAAAAATATTTTATTATTTAAAATTAGGCAATGTCTCTGGGCTTTATTCAGGAATAAACTCCTGCTGTTTCGGTCTTTTTGAATTAAATTGTATTCTGTACAAATGTTTAATGAAGTTGTCTTCTGTAATTTGTAAAAGATGATATCATAGAAAAAAAGTAGTATATTTAAGCTGAAAAGTGCCATCAGATATAATGATAGGCTTTGAAATCTTTTTTTAGTGCCAGTACAGGCTCAATTTGTAAGGTACAAGCTCAATTTGTAAAAGGATGGGCACATCCTCAGTATTTACTTTATTTTTTTTCTTTGTTGTTAGAAACAAAGTCCTTCCAGCTCAGGGCTGTAACTACCATTGAGGATACTGAGGTCATGTCCTCTGTATTTTTTCTATTTATTTTCTTGCCTAAATTGTGATATATATGAACTCTAAAAATAAATTAAACTGAAACTGAAAGTATAGGATGACAATCTAGGTCTCCCACAAAACTGCAAGGTCTATTATATTTAAAGAGGCAAGAGTACCGCTACTATCTAATAAAAAAGAAGCTTGAGGATCTCAGCATACGTGCTGCGTACCGTCAACATGCACTGTCGCTATGGTAACTGCTACATAGGCTACAGATGCCATAAGTGAGTCTGTCAGTCACGGCAGTCAGTGGAAGAGGAGCACATCAAACTACAAATGTAGGTGGAGAGTAGGGCTGCAACAACGAATCGATAAAATCGATAAAAATCGACTTTTAAAAGCGTTGGCAACGAATTTCATCATCGGTTAGTTGTGTCGCGCGATTAATGCGTCATCCGCCGCCGTCATCACATCCACTTGACTGAAGCGGTGGAAGAAGAAAAAATACAGCAGAGCGAGCCAGCGCCGCAGGTGCAGTGTTGCCAACTCAGCAACTTTTCAGACCCCTCCAGCGACTATTTTTCAAAAAAGCGACTAGCGACAAATCTGGAGACTTTTTACGGTGTCACTGGCGGCTTATGGAGACTCTTACGTGAAAGCATGTATCGTTCCTACTCTGCCGTGGGGCGCCTCCCCCCGCTCCCGCAGGAGTCCCTCTCAGCGCTGCAGTCAGAGCAGCAGGATGTTTACCCTCAGCGTCCAGACTGCAAATGAAGCGCGCATGCACCGGGATTGACGGCGCAAATTGATCACAATAATTAAAATAGCCTGCGCTTTGTACAATGAAAAAAGTCGTAACATGCAACTTTTGTAAAACAAATTAACATGGCACGGAACCACCATGTTTGTTTTGTTTTAAAGTGGGGAAATGTAACGTTAGTTTCTCAGGTAGCTCATCTGATGCTTTCCTTACCGTGTTGGTAGGTTACAGACAGTGATAAGGTTGGCTACTTATTTTACTTTTAATTTCATTTGAATTAGCTTAAGCAGCGTTTATATTTACTTTATAAATAAATTAACTTGCAAATTATGAGGGCAAGGCTTTTAAAGTTTAAATCTTCTGGCAAAAATAAAGTAAAGATCCTGCAATTTATGGAAGTAAAGCAGAATAAAATCCAGCAAGATCAGTAATATGTCAATTAAATATATATGCCACATTCCCATGTAAATATCTGTCTTTGGAGGATGTGTTTTTTAGCACCCCTAGTTTAATTTGAATCACAGGGCTATTTTTGTCTCTATGGTTAAGTATTTTCTCAAGTAGCAACTTTAACTGCTATACTTGCCTGTCTTAAAAGGCAGAACTCTATTAGTCTAAAAAAACCTCATTTGTTGAAATGGGGGGGCCTATTGTTTGAACCCCTTAGGGGCTTTTAAAAAAAATGTCTTTTTTTGCACTTTATGAAACAAAGTACCCTATATTTTGTGGATGTACAGCTACATTTCTCATGTAACTTTGCGTAGTTTTAACACAAACATTTATCTTTCATATTGCACCAGTACAGTTAATGAGCAACCTGTACTTGTGTGCTTGTTTGTTCTGTCTAGAATGTTTATTTTGGAATAAAGAGGTTAATATAAAAAATATTTTTTGTCCGATTCATCGATTAATCGAAAAAGTAATCGGCCGATTCATCGATTTTTAAAATAATCGTTAGTTGCAGCCCTAGTGGAGAGCAGTTAAAGTTCCTGATGATGGTGGGAAAAATTACTGCATTTTAATGAGGAAATATTCAAGCCCAGCAAGCTACACACACACACAGCAAAGGAACATCGCACTGAAGTTTAATTAACTCTATCAGTACCGTCTGTCAGTCAATTTCCAGCAGTTGAATCAACATACATTATGCATCTGATATGTTAGTTATGGTTAAGTGTTAACTTACCAGTCTAATAATAAAGTTGAGAAAAGAGAATTGATTTTACATCCGGTTTCTTCTTTAAGCCTGCGCCAATGAACAAACTCCTTTCCATGATCATCTCTTGTTTTTCCTTGCATAGATTCCTTTCACATTTTCTCTTTTTAGCCTCCTAAGAACATTTAAACTTTTGCCTTGCCTCAGCCCTCACTAGTAGTAGAGTTGGCGGAAAAAAGTAGTAGAGCAAAAACCTTAGCTCCATGTTCTTCTTCCAGGTCACATGAGCTGACCAATGACGGTGCGTCATCTCCCTACTTACATACCCGGTATTTCAAGAGGGGATCCCCACTCGTAGCATTGATAATGTCAAGCGCTGCATATTTAAAATAACTCATATGCATCAACCCCTTAGGTCACAAAGTCTGCGGTGTGCCTTTAAATACTGAAGTTAATATAAATAAACTAATTTCAATTAAAATAAAAATGCCTTTTTGGACAATTTTCTAGCCAGTTGTACATAGAAGCTTCATAAGAAAGATTACATAAAAATCAAGTTTATAATGACGGAAATGTCTGGCACGGAAAGAGAAACAGGGAAATGCACAGCCTATTCAAAAGTCAGAATGATGTTGCTTTTGCTCCTTAAGACTAAAAAAGGCCAGATTTAATTAATGGAATTTAAAAAAAACACCCAAAAGTGACTCTTGACCTCAGTATATTTTGGGCCCTGCATATGGCCCTGTTCTAGTTCAAGCGTCACTGTACAGTCATGGCCAAAAGTTTTAAGAATGATTCAAATGTTAATATTTACAAAGTCTACTGCTTCAGTTTTTATAATGGCAATTTGCATATACTCCAGAATGTTATAAAGTGATCAGCGTAACAGCAATTAATTGCAAAGTCAATATTTGCCTAGAAATTGAACTTTATCCCCCAAAGCACATTTCAATTTCATTGCAGCCTTGCCTGAAAAGGACCAGCTGACATCGTTTCTGTGATTGCTCCATTAACACCGGTGTGGGTGGCGATGAGAACAGGGCTGGTGATCAATCTGTCATTATTAATTAAGAATGACACCACTGGACACTTTAAAAAGAGGCTGGTGCTTGGAATCACTGTTTCTCTTCTGTGAACCATGGTTCTCTCTAAAGAAACATGTGCAGTCTTTATTGCATTGCACAAAAATTGCCTAACAGGAAAGAGAATCGCAGCTAGAAAGATTGCATCTCAGTCAACAATCTATCGCGTCATCAAGAAATTCAAGGAGAGAGGTTAAATTGTTGCCAAAAAGGCTCCAGGGTCCTCAAGAAAGACCAGCGAGCGCCAGGACTGTCTCTTAAAAGTGTTTCAGCTGCAGGATTGGGCTACCAGCAGTGCAGAGCTTGCTCAGGAATGGTACCAGCAGTGCAGAGCTTGCTCAGGAATGGCAGCTGGCAGGTGTGAGTGCATCTGCACGCACTGTGAGGCGGAGATTCTTGGAGCAAGGCTTGGTCTCAAGGAGGGCAGCAAAGAAGCCACTTCTCTCCAGGAAAAAACATCAGGGACAGACTGATATTCTGCAAAAGTTACAGGGAGTAAACTGCTGTGGACTGGGGTAAAGTCATTTTCTCTGAATAATTCCCTTTCCGATTGTTTGGGACATCTGGAAAACAGCTTGTTTGGAGAAGACGAGGTGAGCGCTACCACCAGCCTTGTCTCATGCCAACTGTAAAGCATCCTGAAACCATTCATGTGTGGGGTTGCTTCTCAGCCAAGGGAGTCGGCTCTCTAACAGTTTTACAGAAAACACACCCATGAATAAAGAATGGTACCAGAATGTCCTCCGAGAGCAACTTCTCCCAACCGTCCAAGAGCAGTTTGGTGACGAACAATGCCTTCTCCAGCATGATGGAGCACCTTGCCATAAAGCAAAGGTGATATCTAACTGGCTCAGGGAACAAAACATAGAGATTTTGGGTCCATGGCCTGGAAACCCCCCTGATCTTAATCCCATTGAAAACTTGTGGTTAATAATCCATCACGGGTGGACAAACGAAAAACTAGGAATTCAGTCAAGATTTGGTCCAGAAGTTGACTGAGAGCATGCCAGGGAGAATTGCAGAGTTTCTGAAGAAGAGGAGTCAACACTACAAA